ACCCCTCCTCATCTGCCTAATCCATCCCTGTCACAGAAAGAAACTCCATCTTAAATATGGCATTAATCCTTATCCTGTGTGTGTTTTAACTTCTAATTCTGAGATAGTTCTAGAGTAATAGGCAGTAAGAAATAACACGGGGAGAGGACACACATCCTTCGTCTGGTTTCCCCCAGTGCTCTCTTCTGTATGGCTGGAGCACAATATCACAACCCAGATGTTGACAGTGACACAAGCCAACCGGCCGTATTCAGGTCTGACCAGTTTTACATGCTCCCCTGTGTGTGTGTGTGGGGGGCTCTGAGCAATGGCATCCCATGTGGATTCCCGTGACCACTACCATCAAGATGCACAACAGTTCATGACAACATGTCCTGCGCTGCCCTTGTATGACTGCGGTCACCTCCCTCCCTTCCCCCTCCCTGTGCCCGGCAACCAGGGATCTGTTCTCCAGCTCCATAATTCTGTCATTTCGAGTGTGTTATATAAATGGAACCATGCAGTCTGTAACTTCTGGAGATTGGCTTCTCCTCACTCAGCATAATCACCTGGAGATTGGAGAGCCAGGCAAGCTGTTGCATTCATCGGTAGCGGGTTCCTTTTCACAGCTGGGTAGTATTCTACGCTTTGGATGCAACGTCCCTTGTGATTTCAGTTTAGGTTGAACCAAATGCAGTGGTTATTTTTGCACATCACTGTGGTCAGCCATTGGTGATTTCTTGTAGATTAACCTCCTGTTTGTATGTGCGGTGCTGTTTTGTGTGTTGAAAATGTCATGCAAGAAGGCTGTGTACATGTTTCTGTAACTTGCTTCACTCGTGTCACATTCAATTTTTGAGAGCTATTCCCATTCACGGAGCTGGTTTGTTCCATTTTAACTGGGCTGCGTGGACACCACAGCCCCGGCCCTGAGCCTCAGGGAAACCACCACCACATACAGCCCCTGTGCCTCTCACGCCCTCATGCGGCTGCCTGAACACAGGCTGTTCCGTGCCTCTGCCTTCGCCCCTGCTGGTCCTTCCTCCATCCCAGCCAGGCAAACTCCTCCTCGCCCTTTAAGGACCAGCACAGATATTTCCTTGTCTTTGAAAATTGCTTTGTGGGTCTGTCTCCCCCAGAGTAAAAGAGTCGTTGTATTCTTTCCTTCCCTGGGTCCCCAGGGCAGCACAGACCCCAGCACACAGTAGGCATTTACTCATTGTTTTCTGGATGGCTCAGTGCAGACCAGTCTGGGGCAGAGGGAGGCTCAGGTTAAAAGGTAAGAACAAGATGTCTCCACAGGGCACTCACAGTGGGATTAGCAGGTGGCAGTGGGAAGTTCACGCTGGCAGGTAAACTCACCTCCTATGGGCATGCCTCCCACACATGCATATGCTCCCCCACGCCACTTGTATAAAATTAATGTGCAGCCACTCACGTGGAAGTGCCTTTGGGAGTGGTGAAAGTCACCACGGATAAACCCACACCCTAAAGAGACAATGAAGAGGAATAAATACCTCTGAGCATCCAGTGTCCAGCCCCACCCCATCCCCATGAGTGGCTCTTCCTGGGTCTCAGACCGGACTTGTACAGGAACTTTCTGGATCCACACCCTCAGCCTCCCTCGTATTGTTCAAAAGAGCAGCCCAGGCAAGAAGAAGAACTCTAGAAGATGCTGGATTGGTTGTGCAGGGGACGGGATGGCAATCGGGCATGTCACTGGCCGACTCCCCCTTCCACAGTTAGGGCTTGGGCTCAGGGAGCCGACCCGAGCCCTGGGGGATTATGGGCATTGACCCAGGCATTCACAGCCTTAGACCCTAAGCTCTCATCCTCAGTTTCCCCATCTGTAAGATGGAGAGGCGGGAGCAGATGATCTCTAGCTGAGAGAAAAATCAGCCTGCCCCTTCAGGTGGGTGACAGTGAAGGATGGTAGAGCAGGCAGTGGGGCAGATCCCTCAGCGGGGACCAGGGGGCCGTGGGCCGAGGCTCAGAACGCCCTCCCTGCTCCACACCAAGCTCTTCGGTGGGATTCGATCTGGAAGCAGAGGAATCTGACAGCTTCCCCTTTCTACTGTTTGGGAAAAGAAATTCTAAGCATTCCCCTTAGTCTCTGTAGCATACAGTTATGTTGTACTTTTAAAATTTATATATTTATTTACTTAGCATGTTTTTTTTTCAATTTTATAATTAACCTTCTGGTGATTTCTAGAGCTTTATGAATCTTCCACCATGGTTTTTCCCTCTCTACTAATGACAAACCCGGAGGACTGAAATAAAAATGCCTAATTACTTATTTGCCCCAGAGAGCTGAGCAGTTATGCCTGCAAAACCCCTGGCACTTTATTACCCTCTGTGAATATTTTAATTTTCCTCTAAAAGGATCTCAAACCATCCACAGTTGCAAATGGCAGAGCTGCCTCCTCCGTAATTCAATTTGTTTCCGTGAACTTGAGCTCTGAAACTGCCTACGTGCACTACTTAGAAGTAGGGACCTGCCTCTTTTTTTCTTTTGGCTTTTTAAAAATCTTTACAAACCCACAGGTTTTGCTATTACTGTAGGCTTTCAAAGAGCCTTTGATCTCCAGGGCTCTCATTCTGTAGGAGAGTTAATAAGGCATTGGTTTTGAGGGACAGGAAGCAAGCCTGTAGGAAAAGTGACTTGCTCCTGGTCACAGACCTGCAGAGGGGCAGGTCTGGGGCTGCCCCCAAGCCCCCTGATTCCCCAGTGCAGAGCTCAATCCAGCACATATCCCTGCATGAGCACTGAGCCCTTTGGGACTGCTGGGTGCAGCCATGGGCGTAACTTGGAGAGGGCAATTCATGCTCCTGTTTTGGGATGCTTGGGAGTGACTAGAGCTAAGACCAAGGAATGATGACCCAAAGAGCTCCAAGTTATAAATAACATATACAAAAATGAGATTAAAAAAATGTGGCCAGCAGGTACCATCTCACCCCCATGAAGATGGCTATTATAAGAAAACAAAACAGAAAACATGGTGAAGATGTGGAGAAACTGGCACCACTGTGCACCATCAGTGGGAATGTAAAATGGTGCAACCACTGTGGAGAACAATCTGGAGTTTCCTCAAAAAATTAAAACATAGAATTACCATATGATCCAGCAATTCCACTTCTGGGTTTTTACTCAAAAGAATTCAAAGCAGGTACTTGAGAAGATATTTGTACACCCATGGCCACAGTAGCATTATTCACAGTAACCAAAATGTGGAAGCAACCCAAGTATCCATCACAGATGAATAGATGAGCAAAATGTGGTCTACACATACAATGGAATATTATTCAGCCTTAAAAAGGAAGGAAATCCTGACACATGCTACAATATGGATAAACCTTGAGGTCGCTATGCGAAGTGAAATAAGCCGGACACAAAAGGATGGATACTGTGTGATTTCTTCTTATTGAGGTCCCGAGAATAGTCCAATTCAAGAAAGTAGAAGGGTGGGTACCAGGGGCTGAGGGTAGTGGTGGTGGGGAGTTAGTGTATAACAGAATAGAGGTTCAGTTGGGAAGATGGAAAGTTCTGGATACGGATGGTGAGGATGGTTGTCCAATGTCAGTGTACTTAATGCCACTGAACCATACACTTAAGATGGTTAAGATGGTAAATTTTAAGTTATGTATATTATACCACAATTGAAAAAAGAACCCTCCTTCTTGCCTCCTGCCCCAAATAATCCAACCACAGCCTGGTAACTTGCACCAATTGCCATAGGGCGATATTTGAAAGAGCATGTTAGAAAAAGACTTTTTGCTCACGAGCTGTCTCTGGTGGCCTAGGCCATGCCCCCTCACCCCTCAAGGACCAGAACAGGCACCGGCAGAGCAGCCTCCCCGAGGCTTGGATGGACCACCAGCCAGCCTCAGCAGCTGCCGCAAAGGCCAGAGTTTGAATGCGGACTCTGCTCACCCTTTACGGAGCTCTTCGTGGGCATCCTCACTTGTATCCCTGCAGCTCCCTAGGAGGCGGCCTGTGATTAGTCCCAGGTGCACGGAGGGGCCTGGAGAGGCGAGGTCACACCACTCGTAAGTGGCCGAGCTAGGATTTGACCTCAGCCGTTCTGGGCTCTGAGCCCGGGGCACATGCCCTCCCAGGAGCCCTGCCTCTCTTCACCAGCATTCGAGATCATCGGTTAACGAGGTAACTGGTGGGTGACTGATTTAGAGTCCACGTCGGGGAGAGCTGTGGCTGTCTGGCTTATCTCCACTTCCTGCTGTGGGGTAACCAATGAATATTTGCTGAATGAATAAATGAATAATTTTGGTGTTTTTGTGTGTGGAGCGCTACCAATGGGAGGCCAGATGGGATGGGATTTTGTCAGAATCGTGGCCTCCAGAATTGTCATCAGAAGGCCTGCCACCCCAGGAGCCTCTCAGGTGCTAGGTCACCTGAGGGCAGGAGGGGGCAGAGCCATGCCAGTGAGCCACGGACCTGCCCCAGAGGTTGTAAAGGCATGAGGTCCATGTGCGGGTCCAGGGCGACAGCTGGACAGGCTGAAACGCTGTGGGGAGACACACTGTTGGAAAGCAGACTCCCTGAGGATGCCCTGGGGACCTTTCCAAGCTCACCAGTGCACCATGCCTATGTGTGCATGCAGTGTGTATGTGTGCATGTGCACGTGGTGTGTGTGTACATGCACATGTGTTGTGTGTGGTGTGTATGTGCTGTGTTTGTGGCATGTGTGCAGTGTGTGGTATGTGTGCGGTGTGTGGATGTGCGTGTGTGGGGTGAGAAGATGGAAGCAGGGATTAATAGTTCCGTTAAAAGTTGGAATTCCCCATCCAGGGTTATTTGCCTTAAACTCTTCTCCCAGGAATAGTGTTTGCAAAAAAACCAAAACCAAATGAG